CATACAGAGTTAATTTACAACAATTCTCTTTTGCAAATGTTAAACTGTAAACTTAAGACATGCTATGTTACCAAGTTTTAAAAATCTAAATTTTTTGGTAAGGAATTAAATTATGTTTGGTAATTTTCAGTTTTTTTCATGTAAAAATATTACTTATATAATAACCTGAGTTAGTTAAACTAAAAAAGAAAACTTTTCCTGGAGTGGACTGTAATTTTCAACCTTTTTTCTTTTTTTTTTTTTTTTTTAATCAAAAAAATTTTTTTATCAAAAAATTGATTATCAGGATGGTTGATGGAATACTCAACTATTAAAATAATCACAAGCTGCAGCCACAATATGTGTTATAATAGTTTGGAATTTTATTTTATTACAAATAAAGTTTCAAATTCTGGAACAAAAGCGTCACAATCGGCCCAAGTCTCATCCACACCCATTTAATGAGTTCAAGAAGGTATTATTTATCAGCTTTGTTATTTGTTTCAACATTTCATATATAGGAAAGTCTAAATTTTGCTTTATTATTGTTGACTCATCAGAAATATTTATAGGTTTAAATTTGGTTTCTACTTATGTCAATTTATAAATACACTGTAAGTGATTTTTGCATTAATACTGAGGAATAGGTAAATTTTTTGTTTTGATATTTTGTTTGTGGTATGACTGCATTCATTTATTCTCCCAAAAAAAAAAAAATGTTTTTTTAAATCATTCTTCCATTTAAATGGCTAACACACAAAATCTGGATCCTATAACAGATAATCTTAAATAGCTGTAATCGTAATAAATCATCTATCCCAACCCCTTGAATAAATGAATACCAAACGAGATAAGTTGATTGGGTCCTCATTTTTCTGTGTTATTTAGTATTTAAAGTGTATAATGGCTTTTCTTACAGTCCATTAATGTTATCCCCTGTAAAAGTGATAAAGATGCTGCATTTATATGATGGAATAACATAGATTCTTCCCCCTGACACACTGGAATGCCCACCTTGTAGGACAAAAACGACAGAAAATATCTCTAAATTTAAAATACAGGGAGTAAATCCTGTTTAAACCGCTGTGTAACGCTAGTTTTGAAAGATCAGAGCCTCAAATTAACCCACTATAGTGGCCGCTCTCATAATAAAACCATTGTAATTGTAAATATTTATCCTTGAAAGTTATAAATCATGTAAAAGAAGAAATCTAACCTTAACATCCTCCGTGCTAAGGCATGCTTGAACTGCATCATCCACAGCGGACGAGGGACGACTGCTGATTGGTCGAGAATTTAAAACTCGCTTTGTGATTGGTCAGAGGCGGTGTCGTAGGAAAAATGCGACGAAGCAGGAAGTTAGGGGAGCCTTTTATCAATAACAGAGGCAATCAGCTGACTGCCCGATAAGCGGCGGGAATAAAGAGGGTCCAAGAGAAGATGGGAGCATAAAGTCTGAGAGCGAAGCTGTTTGTATGTTTTTATCAGTTCAGAATGAGCATCAACAGCAGCGAGCAGGCTGATGTTTACTCTAAACTCTCTGGGAGAGGCTCGTCTGTCAGTGAGAGGACTCCTCTGTTGGGAAATGTGAGTATTTAATCACTACATCTGCTTCTGTCATCGACATTAATCTATAGAAATAAGGAGTTTAACATCGAGTCGCTGCTTTGTTCGTGCTTTTTTTTAATGGTCAGCATCACATGAGCTGGACTTCACTTTTTCAGTTTCCTTTGGGATTTCTGCTTCTGTCAGCACAGCAGTCAGCCCACACAGCAAGCAAGCAAGTGTGCAAAAAGGCTCACTTATGTTTATTTCTCCATTTACAAAAAGAACATTTGGTTTAATTTACTTCAATTGTTTTGCATTGTTCCATCGGGATCTCCTCCTCCAAAATGTGTGTAAATCAGTGCTTTTGCTGCTTTTCTACTTTAAATTCTCCATACACTTACTGTCTGTGAAACATGTAAAAACTGAAGTCTGCTGATGTCATTTTGTATGAGCACGTTTTTCTTTCTTTTAGCATTAAACATAGGTATCAGTATAAAACAATGAACATGTGGGATTTTTATCTTACAGTAGCAGCTCTTTTCTTAAAGCTGAAATTTTCAGTGGTTGTTAAATTCCCTTTTTTGGTTATTACAAGAGTAATGACACGTAGGAAAACCAGATCCTCTGCCGGGTGGATGTCCCTTTAGTTGTCAATGGGTTTAAAAAAAAAAGATGTTATATGTTCAATAAATGTTTCTCGGAATCATTTTGGAAATGGATTCGCAAATATTAATTTCCATAAAAATTAATCTGAGCCAATCTTTAAAAAAAATAAATTAGTGCAAAACATTCCCTTGATTTTTATAACTAAAACAATGAGTAGATTTTCCACAACCCACAGTTGTGTTTTAATAGTTTCACATGTATCAGTCAGACAAAAAGGGAGCTCTTTTAAACTACTAACCACCTTAGTTTTAATTCCTAATTAATAACTGATTTAAAACAACCATCACATCATGTTTTTATTAAATGGATTGTATTCCTTCTTTATGTTAAAATAATTAATAAGAATGTACAATGCTAAAATAAATGCTAAGAAATATTTTTCTACCTCAAAGTTGTGTGTTTGTTACAGAAAATGACCATTTGAGAACAAACGGGCCAAACAATGTAAAAACTAACAGCAGTCTGGTGTATATATGAGCATATCATTACTCCAATATAATAAGCAACAATTTTACTTGTTAGTTTTTCACGGGTAAAATTTTTTGAATTATCTATATTTTAATATTGTTAACTTTAATATTAACATTTCATGTTTAGTCATTGCTATACAGTTTTACAGTTTTGCATATAATTTACTGTAGAGTTACTGTAATAGTAGTTCTGATGGTAATAATGCTTTATTATCATTGTAATTATTATTAGTAGTAGTACTACTAGTGATAGTGAACTGTTTTTTTATGTTTCTGACTTACTGTAAAATCCCCACATGATATCAAAGTCGTGTTTTGAATGTCAGGTTATTCTATGTAGGTCTAAGCATATCAAAAATCAGATAAAATGTAATACTGTATAAATGTGAGCAGTGTGTTTAGACATCTGATCAATTCTTATTGGGTTTAATCAGTTTAAAGGTAATTTTCAGTCCATGTCATGTGATGCAGTGATCCCAATTTTAACCTGCGTTTATCAGTTTAAGAAAATTAGATACAAGAACTATTTTATTTAGAATATTTTATCATTAAATATGTTTTCTAGATTCATTTCTTATCAGTCGACCCTCCATAGGATCATGGTGTGGATTTGATCTGTTCACTTAAACATCTGTGTCAGTTTAATCTGTATCAGGTGAAGAGGTTTTGGGATGCAAGGGTGGTGGGAAAAGCATTCAGGCTGGGGGGAAAAAAATTGGCGTATTTCAAACTCAACTGTCTCCATGTTTATTTCTGAAGGACTCTGCAAATAGTCTTAATTCTCCTCCGTCTGGTGTCTCCCATGCACTTCCCGTCTTTCGTTTCCTGTAACAGGGTGAATCTGAGCGAGAGCCTTGCAGGTCAATCTGAGCTTGTTGTGACACTGACACCAGAGTTGCCACTTGTTCTATCCAGGATATCCCCCATTAGAGAGGTCAAGCAGTTTGGGCAGCTCCCCTTATCCTGAGCTCAGGCAGCTGTCCTGCAGCCAGCAGCTCAAATCCCACCCCATCAATTCCTATATCCATCCCCTGATCCTGCATGCCCCTGCAGTGTTGTTTTATTACATCCATCATCAGGCCGAGCCAGTTGCTCCTTGTAATGTCAGGGGGAGTCCTCTGAGCAGGTCTTTTTCTGCAGTTTTTGTTTTGTTTTGGTCTTTCTCTGTAGCTTTAATTGCTTTTCTTTTTCCGTCTGCAGGGATCAGTACAGATCCGGACTACAGGAGCCTCCTTCGCCTCCTCTGTGTTCAACCTGATGAATGCAATCATGGGCAGTGGGATACTGGGTCTGGCTTATGCAATGGCCAGCACAGGAATAGTTGGGTTTTGGTAAGAATGCACTCCTTCCACCAGTGCTGTCTTTCTTCAGAATAATGTTTATCAATTGGTGCTCTGCTTTTCTTCCCAGCATCCTGTTAGTACTGGTATCCAGCCTTGCAGCATACTCCATCCATCTGCTTCTGAAGCTTTGTGATCAAACAGGTGAGGGAAAAACACTTTCCAACCCCAGCCAATAAATAAACTGCAGGATTTCTTCGCTTATTGATGTTGACTTCATGCTCTGAATCGCTTTTCCTTTAACTCCAGATTTAATCAGTTTGTTGCAAAACTATCTATTGTTTGTATTCGGTTATTACTCAAGTCCTGATTGTGACCTCATCAGGTGATGCTTGACTAATGAGTAATAAAGGGTCAAAGGAGCCCAAAGAAATGATAACAAGAAAACACAATAGAGGGATGTGCAGGTTGTTGATTACCATTAAATCTATTTAAATACTGTGATGTTTTCACCAAAACGGTTTAAATGCTCAACTTTCATGCAGACATTTATCCCTTTTTCACACTTTCTTCTTTTTATTTCATATGCTTTTTCATAAGATTTTAGTTCAGGCAGACAGTTGATTAAAGACATTTATTTACACTTTACATTTCTGTTTTAGCTCAGTTAGGATTATAAATGCCAGACTAAATAAAGTAGTTTTCAAATTAGGGCTACAACTAATGATTATTTGGCAAATCGATTAATCTGTTGATAATTTTTTTGATTAATCAATTAATAAGCGGATAGCAAAAGGTTCCTTAAAGAAGACGTTTTATGAAATTAAAGCAGGGGAAAATAAAACTGTTCCACTTGAGGAGTTCTGGATAGAGCAGATTGACAGACAAAAAAGATTTTTTATTTTAAATGTAAAATGTTAACATATCTTTTTCACAATTTTAGTATAATTGCTGCTCAAGATGGGCTGTTCTTTCAGGTAAAGGCATGTTTTAGAGTCTCTACACTCCAGTTAATGATTAATCCCTTACTAAATTATTTGACTCAGAAACAATCAAAAACTTAAGAAGTTGGGGAACCTTGAAAAGCCACGATGTCATGGCTTTAATGCTAAGCGCTGTGTATGATATTTTTCAGGAAGCTTTTTAAACACTCTCCTCGCTCTATCAAAAGAAATCAGAAATCTGTCATCTGTTATTATTTGGAAGTTAGGCTCCCAACGCCATCATTGTTGTTAAACCGACATCATTGTTGTTAAACCGAAATCATTGTTGTTAAACCGTCTTTGCTGTGGAACAGATTCATTAAGTTTCAATGATGTCAGCTAGTTCTCTCCATAGTTGCTTTCATTTTTGAACATAAAGATGTTGTAGAGCTGCAGGAAGGGTGGGATCGACCTTTAACCTTCTCCAACACATCCTAAAAAGTCTTGACTCTGTGGCTGATCCATGCATGAATGTGTCAATCTGAAACCAATGGCTGTGCCATCAGCATGTCTAATTCTTTGGCCTCATAGGTGTTTCTGAACCTGGACCTGACCAAATGCAGCCACCCCAGATCATAGCACTTCCTCCACAGGTCTCCACTGGGTGTGATAGAAGCAACATTGTATGCACTTCTTCTTATCTTGATGCTTGCTTTAGAACAGTGTAAATCTGGATTGTCTTGTATTGTTGCTCCACTGCTCAAACTTTATGCTCCTTAACAAATTAAAGCATTTTTTTCTTCACTGATCAGAGATTTTTTAGATGTTTAGTCCCCGTCGTAACTCTGTGTGTGTAGAATATCTTCACTTACTTTTATTAAAAATACAAATGGGTTTGCAGTTTTTGTTATTTTTTTAAATGATTTGATTATTATAAAAACATTTAACTGAACATGGACCTCAATCATAAAAAAATATTTCCTTATGGTCAGCATCATTTGTATTATTTTTTTTAAGGAACCTTTTTTTTTGCCTTAAATTGCCCTGCATAAATGACTCAAACACAAATATCCAGGCAGTAATAATGGAATAGGAGGATCCTACCTATCTGCAATGTTATATCAAGGCAATTACATTATTTTTGACAGGCAGTTGATAAAACATAATTTTTCTACTGCCATCATAGCCTTCTTGAAGGAGAAATATTCTTTGTCCCACACATTAACTTGTTTCAGTGCAAAATCTGCAATTTAAGACAAAATTAAAAGAAGGCCTTATTAAGATGCTATTGAGGTCGGTCATTGTTATTATAATCAGTCAGACAAGTCCTAGATGAGCTTGCTCAGCAAAAAAGGACAAACACCAATCACTACAGTTTTCTGGTTGTATTGAACATTTTTAAATATAGAGGTAAAAGGGGAGCAGGTAAACCTGAGAGCAGCATCTGGACTGTGAAATATGGGATGGTAGAACCGTGTCGCATGGATGCCTTATACACAAATACTGAAGGGATATCTTAAGATCAAATTAGTTATAAAAGTCACAGAAGAACAACAAGGTCAGTGTTTTGGAGCAGCCAACTCAAAGTCCTGATTTTAGTGATATTAGAGCAGGTCTTACAGAGTCTGGCTTGTAAACCGGACTCTGTGACTCCAGGCTGTCAGGAGGAATGGTCCAATATTCCAGAAGGTTGTACAGAGCCTGTGGAAGATAACCCAAAACAGCAGAGCCATATTGTACAGTTTTAAAAAATGTGTTTGAACTGCTAAAAAAAATCTGTTATTCTGGCATTTAACTAATAGAAATAACATATAACTGGACTAAAGACCTTGGTTTTTTCTAATGAAGTTTTAGACTGTGACGGAAAAAAAGTCCTGATTTGTCTGACTTTGATTTATTTTTTAAATGGTCATTTGCTGCAGGTATCAATTCGTACGAAGAACTTGGAGAAAAAGCTTTGAAAAAAACAGGAAAAGTAAGTGAGGCCTTCAGGATTACTGTGAAGGTTCTGTTTTCATTTTGTTTACTCTTCCCTCCCCTTTTTTCTCTCCATCTCTCTCTCCAGATTTTAGTGGGATTGGCTATTCTCATCCAAAATATCGGTGGTAAGTTGGCCTTCTTTTCAACATGAAGGAACAGACATTGTTTCTGACATGTTGGACGTAAAACTATTATGTGGTTTTTATGAGAAGCAGAGCTGGGACAGAGCTGAGGTATGCTGCAGGGACAGTTTGTTTATTTTGGAGGGAGATATCGCCTCCTGCTGGTGAACAGAGTGGTCTGTGTTGAGGTTCTCTCTTTCCTCATCACCCCCCTGCCATTATCTAGATTCCCTGATAACCCCTGACCCTCTCAGCCCCCTCCCCTGGGCCTGAAACATGACTTCTCTCCTAATTGATCGCTGATGGCGAAACCCACTCCCACCCTGTGTGTGGAGAGTAGCGTATTGGGGTCCCTCCCTGTACCCAACTCGACCACAAACGATGCTTCTCAGACAGCTGAGAGCTGAGCTGCTGCACCGTCATTAGTATCTGGGTTGAGTCGATTACCTCTGATGTTCTGGTGTTTTCCCAGCATGTGTCCAGGAGTGTGAGAGCCGGCACTCCAGAGTCCATCTGTCTCTACCCACAGCTTCTTTTATAAGAGTGCAATTAGCCTCACTCTGGGTAAACATTCATTCAGGCTGCCAAAGGCTGAGCAGCCAATTGACCTTAATTACTGACCACCCCACGGCTCTCACAGCCAGCCTCTCCTGGCTCTTAATGAAATGAAAGTTGTTCTGTCTCATGTTGGAAGCACTCCGCAGCTATTTGCTGACCACACAAAGAAGCCTCACCTCTATACTCTTTAAACATTACGTAAATGTTGATTATCAGTGTCTGTTTTCTTACCACTTGGCCAATAACGTCCTCTTTCTTCACTCAAGGGCCATTTTGTATGGTCGTTGTAAGTATTATCTCACCTCTGATAGAAGTGTTTGTCGTTCCAAGAGTAACCAGTTGCATGAAACTAAACCACCGCATCCCGACTGACTGACTGCTGTGTGTTCCTGTCAGTCTGTCTTTAATGGGTTACCTTTTTGTGGTGTGTTCACAGTGATGGATTCGTCTTTGATGTGAAACTCTTTCTTTCTTTCTTCGTTTTTTTTCTTTGTTTGTTTCTTTGTTTGTTTGTTTGTTTCTTTCTTTCGTTCTTTCTTTCCTTCCGTCATTTCTGCATGAGTTAAGCTACTACCATTATAGTGAATGTGCTCTATACAAAGTTTTGCATGGAAATCTGTGAAGACTGAAATGTGGAAGGATTTGGTTTTGACATGGGAAATTGTTAGGAACCCTCGATATTGGTTCTCTTCCCCCTTAGAACTGGGTGAAGAGAAACAACATATTAAAGTGGATGGGTGCACAAAGACACGCTGCTACCAGCTACAGTAGTGTAATATGCATATATATATATATATATATATATATATATATATATATATATATATATATATATATATATATATAGCATGTAACAAAAGTAATTTCCCTCTGGGATTATTAAAGCATTTCTGATTCTGGTACCATGGTATGCACACTAGAAGCCCTGAAACATTTGATAATGGAGTCCCTAACTGCCAAACAGTGCTCATGAATAGCAGCTTTTATTCAGAGAGGGAATGTGCTTGTGTCTGTGTGGGCGAGAGCATTATTGGAGGAATTTTCTTTTATAAACAAATACAGGATCTGAGGGATTATGACTGGGATTATTTAAAGAAGAGTCACAGACCCGCCCGGGGTAGTAGGATTCCAGCTAGTCTTGCATTTTGCTTGGCTTTCCTAATAATAATTCCCTTAAACTCAGGGCTGAGCACATGCTGCTTGTGAGGAGCTTGCCCAGACCAAATGCACACTTCTTTTTGGGAGCGCCTTATCCCATTCCCTGCTATCCTGATGGAGCTTTTAGAAGCGGGCTTAAAGGAATTGAACTGATCCACTGTCCATTTGGCTGTCAGAGAAAAATGGCTGTATCCTGTTGCCTAGCGAGGTGGAGAAAGGTTGGAAGTACCTGGATTAGTGTCAGAGATCGTTACTGTTAGCATTGCAGCTCGCCCTCCTCCTTCCTCACCCCTGATTTCCCATCCTAGCTGCTGTGCAGCAATTGGAAGGCCTGCATTATGTCTGCTCCTCATACTGAGGGCTTTACTGGGGATCTCCCAATTACCCTCCCATGTTGCGGTACCCCCCCTCCCTTTCCTTTGAATACACACCACCCTCACATAACAGCTGAGAGCTTCTTGTGGCGGCATTCAGCTGCATGCTGTGATGTATTTGGTTGAGAATCGTTTCTTGTGATTTCATTTAATTTTCCTCATTTTCTCTCCTCAGCCATGTCATCCTACTTGTTCATCCTGAAGTCGGAGCTTCCAGCAGCTATCAGCAGCCTCGTGAATGCAGAAAACTCAGGGTGGGTTCATCCGTTACCCTCCTAATGAAAATGTTTTCATAATGTCACAAAATTGATGACTATGAATTGATGATTGATGCATTTATTTAAAATAGCAGCAAAGGAGTCATCCTGTTCTTTTAATAAACAAGATAAAGTTAGATTAACATTTTGGAGTAGATGGGTTTGAATGCACTAGAAAAGCCCAACTGCTGGGAGATCCTGTCTGATCAGAGGTACTAAGGACAGCAAACTGTCAGCAAAATTTATGGGGGATTTTTGTGCAGCATCTTTACCAAACATGGAATAAGAGGCTCTAGTTGGATACATACAAAATTTGACTTTTTAAACTATGCTGACTGCTTCATGTGGCAAAAACCAGCAACTGAAATCACCATCTGTGCATTGAAACATGGCAGGGGAAGCATCATCCTGTGGAGTTAACCTGCAGATCTAAATCCGACAGTTTTTTCGTTTAGGAGGATGGACCTCCATGCTGCTTAAAGAAATTGACTCTCTGTCTGCAGGTTGCTGTAGTGCGAGCTAACTAAAATCATAGGTGTTGAAAAAGAAAAAATCGGTGTCCTCCAATTAAGGCCTTTTTTTGTGCTTGCTATGACCCAGATGACTGAGTTAGAGCTATTCAATGAAGAGGAAAGACTGAATATTCCAGACTCGTTTAGTTAGATTTGAAGCTTGATGAGTTAAACCCACTAACGCCGCACGTTTGTTCAGGCATATAAATTCTCCATAAAACATATTGACATTTGCAGAGGTAATCTGACAAACTCAAGGGAATTGAACACTTTGCAAGGCACTATCCATCCATCCATCAACTATCGGCAGCCTACATCCATCGTTGACCTTTATGGGTGATCCTTCAGCTCCCCCTTCTCACAGAGCCTGGTCCCCTGGCCAAGAATGTAACGTATATCTCTTTATTATTGGCCACTCTGGTTTTCGCAGAACTTGAAGCAGCTCTCAGCCCCCAATCCGTCAACATCTGACTCTTCCCCACACAGCTGTTCCGTATTAGCGCGCTTCTTTCACCCTTCCACCCCCAAATCTCTCACACATGTTCCCAGAATCAGACTGATACAAGGGGATATCAGTTTTGCCATTCTAATTACAGCTCGCGGTGGCGGGGAGCAAAACGCTTCTGTTAATGAGTGGCTGTGGGATGTTAACAGAAGCTCACTCGCCTCCATCAGAGCTTGAAGAAATGAACAAATAAGCCAGGTCCTTTGTCACAATGCAATACAATTATAGCAATTCTGTTGACTTTTTTGTTTTCTGTAAAAGGTTTCTTTCTAGTTTTACTCATTGTGGTTTCCACCAAGCAGCTGTGGGAGTCAGTTTATGAGGCATTTAGTTAGATTCATGCTGATCTTCAGCTTTGTGTGGAGTATAATGAATTGTCAACATCGGAGCATAATTTTTTCATCATCATTCTTTTCTTTTCTTTTTTTTATCCAAATACTCTATAATGAAAAGTCCAACAGCTGAAGGCTGCCTATACTTTTGCCTCAAGTTTGGATTCAGTCATTGGTCACAGTTTGCAAACAAAACATATAAAACCCTGTCTCACTGTCAAATTATTTCATATTGTAGGGTTTTTGTTCATTACAAAAAAACCTCCACCATAAATTAGGTAATAAACAACTTAAGAGGTGGCACTTACTGAGTACCAAAAGTATAGTCTTAAGAAATTAGAAAAGTGAGTACTATATATCAATTTCAATAAAGCTATAGAGGAATGTAACGTAATATAAACAAATAATTTAAACTGAAGTATCTTTTTAAACAAATTTTTATGGAAATAAACAAAAAATAATAAATCTTGTTAGGATGATATTTATCCTACTGTAAATGGTCAAATCACACACAGGTGTTTCACATCAGGAGCACCTGATCAGAACAATGGGCCTCATGCAGCAACGTTCTTTTTATTCTTGTCATAAATTTTTCTGTTTTTCAAACGTGCCACATCAGATTCTACTAACTACAGAAGAGGATGAGGGCCACTGAAAAAAAAAATAGTTAACTGATTTTTAAATATTATTTCAGTTTAATATGGGAAAAAAATAGAATTCTGACTTTAATCTCAGAATTTTAGATCTTAATGTAGATGGGCACCATAAAGGAAGAGATGTGGAGCACTCAGCTTCACTGACAAAGATGTAAGTTGTTTGAGAGGGCCAGTGACACAATGGTGGAAAATGACGGAATTAGGCGATGCTATTTCATTAATGGAAGAGCAGAAGGTGATAAAAAGAAGAGAGCTAGTTTAGTCTCTAAAACAGACATGGCTACAGCTTGATGCTAACATTTCTTTTTTTATTTCTTTTTTTTAGAAAAAAGTCAGAATTCTGAGATTAAAGTCAGAATTCAGACTTTTTTTTCTCATTTTGTACTGAAATAAAATGTAAAAATCAGTTAACTTTTTACATTTTTTCTGTGTCCCTAATACTCTTCCATAACTACCTTTTTTAACTTCAGTAAATAATCCTTGTAAACACGATGCAGTCAACACGTTAAGTTTAGTTTAGTTTTTTTAGGATCCACATTAGCTGCCAAATAAATGGCCACTAATCTTCCTGGGGTCCTCACATAAAAAAATACATTACATTATGAAAAAACCATTAAAAAAATTGCACAAGTTGCACATTAGGAAATAATAGGAACATGAAAAAGAGTAGAAATATACAACATAAATACACAGGTCAGTTCATCATATCACCTGCAGTAGTTCTGAAGACAGTATCTTTTTGAAGCTTGTTCTGTTCTGGACTCTTCTTGTGGTTATTGGCAGTTGGTTCCAGTGACATATGGCTCTATAATACACTGTGGATTTTAGATAGTTTGTTCTGGGTCGAGGGAGTTTAATGTCTCCACCTAGTGCCCGCCTTGTTAAATAATTAACAGTGAGTGAGTGTGTTTGCCAGAGTAATGTAAATACGCATAATTACCACCCCAATAATGGCAAATCGGGCTACAACTTCCAGTCCAATCAGAAGGTATTCATTTACAGAAATGGCATTAAAGACAAAGAAGTGACACTTTACCAGTTTGAGATGGAGGCTCTGCCTGAGAACTGAGTAGCAGAATTAAAGGACCTGATAAAGTCAAGCAGTGAAATGAATCAAAAGGGTTGTGAATGATGTGGTTGTACTGCTACAGAAGTAAAAGGAAAATAGAGAAAAATAACAGAAAAAATCTACAAACAAGGTGCCATAAACATGTTAAGCAAACACAACACTACATTCTGCAAAATCTCCTTTTAATACACCATATACTGTATATCTCCAGACCAATTCTGCCATCCAATCATAAAAATAATAAAGGCCAAACTTTAATTTGATGACCCAAACATTTCAATTTTGTGCCATGAAGTGAACTGAATGCATGTCTTAGCATTGGGAGACTTTCAGGCAGCAACATGTTGCTTAACCTCCTCTCTGAACTTTCTATTCATTTTCTGTTCCAGATGTTACTTCAATAGTAGCTTAATCCTACATAGAAATAACAACAAATTAAACCAGTGTCCCCTTGGACCGATAGTTCTGTCATCAGCGAATAAAAATTTTATTTATAATTGCAGAGTTGCATAATGCATAAAGATGTATCCTAATAAAATAGACAATTGCTTCTAAGTAACAACAAATGTAGTCATTTAGTGAAAAACTAGGTCTGGATAACAGCTGACTGATTATGCAAGACCTCTTCATCAAGTTTGGAGCGCTTATAAAATAAACTCTTACCTTAGAGAAGATTAGAAATAGGAGAAAAATGTAAATGCAGCATTTACATTACAAGGAATTTGTTCATGTGGACGCTTCTTGCATGAGGCCCATTAATACTTCACACCCTGACTGAGGTTTGCCCTTTGGAAACGTCACGTTTAGTTTGGTGCTCCTGACTGTTAAAGTGAGAGGGAAAAACATAATGAGACCATGGAAACCATCTGTTAATCCAGCTCTATCTGTCTAAGTACGTTCACTCTGAAAGCAGACCTCGACATGCTGAAATACATCGCAACAACTCTAAGTAATTGAGAAAAAGTCTGAGAAAGTTCAAAATTGATTTCTCATTGTATTTGTGAGTTCACAAACACATGAGAATCCATCTTATCTTGATGCAACTTATTCCTTTCGAAAGCAACTCAAGACGGGTCGGTCAAACATGTTGCAGTAAGATGGTTTAATGCAGGACATATAGATGTGAGGAAAGCAGGAGCTGCAGAGCTCCCATTCTGAAGAAAATACACATCTCCAATCTCCAATTCTTTCTTTAAAGGAGGAAAATCAAGAGCCTAAAAGCGTGAGTTGTAGTTCCTCATATCTGCTGGTAATTAACTTGTTACCAAGATTGGCTCAAACCAAATTATGGTAGGAAGGACTTTAGATGTTGCTTCACCCAATCAGCTGGAAAGGTTCTCCTGAATGTCCCTCTTTACCCACTGAACACATTCTATGAGAGTAATCCCAGATTAATAATTTGTGGAACTAAATCTAAATCAATCTGTCTGGTAGAGAGCAAAACATTTGTTCTTCAAGTCATTTGGACTGGTAGAAAAAACATGGGTTAGTTTTTTTTTTCACAGTTTGAAAATGTAACTTTTTTTTTTAATGAGAAGAGGAATATAAATTTGTATCGTTTATGTTCAATGAAATCAGTAAATTAAAGGCAAAAATAGCCATCAGTATGTAAACATTTTTAATTTGATTGAATGTCATAATCTTCTCACAGCTTTACTTCATGCTTTGAAGTCTAAATCTGTATAATTCATTTAGTTGACATTAATTATGTAAAATATTTGAAAAGAAAGAACACTTACATTAATTACTTAATGAGGAAAATTATTCTTTTAGATTAAGAAGGAAATAAATCAGCGTTTTTCTGTGTTCGCTCCGGTGCTGTGGCATTTCGGAGTGGGAGATGCTCCACATCTCACCCGGTATCTCTGTATATTGAGTTTAAAGCCTCCTGAAGATCCTCGTTTAATTTTTTTTAAACATGTCTAAATATTTTTCTTAACTGAGCAATGGAAGATTGTTGAGACACAGCAGACATCCAGTTGTGGGATGGGAAGCGTGTAGTCGGGACAGAGGGTAATGACACAGCTGTGAAGCTGCCAAACGGGGGCCAGTGGGTGTTGATGTGGTCGAAACAGGTGCCTCTGACACTGGGAGCTCCAATAAACAGCTGCAGAGCCAGTTTCTTATGACCCTGCGCTGCGGCAGCGACACCCAGGACCCTTCCCATCCAGCCCCAACCCCAGCGGAGCCAACATGCCTTCCACATGTGTCACTACAGCCCACCCCTCCTCCTGCACAGTCCTGTATAAACCACCAAGGCTCTCCTTTAGCAAAAGAAAATATTATTCCCTTCTCTAAAAACCTGGAAGAGAGCTGTGGTCTCATCTGATGGAGCGGCACAACGTTACCATGTGAACTACAAGGTTGTTATGATTTGGAAGAGCTAAAGCCTTTAATTCGTTCCACATGACGAATCTGTCGCTCTGTATTTGAGCACAAAATGGAGACAAATTTCCAGAGCCGGTTGGTCTGAAAGCATGGCCGATTGGTCTGCGGCTGTCGCTGTGACATTTCAGAAGATCTGCTGCAGTTCAGCCTTGACTTTTAATACTTGAATCTTTGTTTTTTCCAGGAATGCCTGGTATGAAGATGGCAGGTTGCTCCTCATCATCGTTACAGTTTGTATTGTTGTGCCTTTAGCGATGTTGCCCAAAATCGGTACGTTTTTTCCTCTTTCTAGCCTTTACTGGTTTGAATCACTCCACCTTACTGGATCTTTCTCTCTCCCATGCTCCACAGGATTTCTGGGTTACACCAGCAGCCTTGCCTTCCTCTTCATGCTGTATTTTACAGTTGTGGTGAGCTCTGACCTCAACCTGTAGATGTCTGTTGACTGTATGTCCTCCTAAGCTAACTTTCTCCACTGACCTCTTGTTTCTAGGTTGTGGTGAAGAAATGGTCCATCCCTTGTCCCTTGCCTCACAACGTCACAACGCTCCCAGACCTCGAGAAGGTGAATGTAAACAGTAGCTTAGTTCAGTTTAATGCAGTAAAATAGTTTTTCCATTCAGTAGATGAATGTGGCATATTAATACTAAAGTTTAAAATGAATAATGTTCATTTATTAATAGAAGCAACTAGGGCTGGGTAAAAAAAATCGATCCTTTACATTTTTGCAAAATCGATGTCTAGGAAATGAAATATGTTCGTTTTATAGTGACGCGCGTGACATTCACATTCAAATAAGCAGGAAAGTTGCACTCAAGATGACTTCAAGCCAGACAGCTGCAAATATAGCCAATAGGTTGATTGAAGACATTAACGAATTGGGGCTGACCAGACCATGGTTTGTACAGTGGAGATTATGCAGCTCATGCATGTCTGCTGTGTCACGTCAGCTCGCTCGAGTGAGGCTTCACTTTTTCACTTTTCACGAACAAGTTTGCACACAAGTTTGCAAGTTTGTTCACATCTCAAGTTTAAACTGTCTGATTTACAAGTTTGCACTTTGTGTTTAATATGACAGGAAAAAGTAAAATACATGAGTATTTTGAAACACAGTTGAACCTCTTTCATTATTGTAAAAACAGATCGAATTGAAATTAATCGATTTAGAACTTTATGAATCGAAATCGAATCAAAATACCCAGCCCTAGAAGCAACGTTTCTGTCACTTCTGGCTTTAGAAGTACAACATTCATCATCCAGGCCTAAAAACTGCTAGTCTAAACCAGAATACGTTCCTGTTAGGTGCTCAGTGAATATTGGTACCAGTACAGAGTGCCACTTGTGCAATAAGTGTAGTTGTGAACTTTTCTTGCTGTTAAATACTCTGCTGTCGACTGTTAGTGCCGTTATAACAAAGTAGAAACTTTTTGGGATGACGGCAACTAAACCGAAGAGTTATGGACCAGGTGTAGGTCAGAGAGGGGTGAGCGTAGACTGACATAAAGACGTCAGCAACTTTCAACAGAATCAGCAGCTTCTAACCTCCAGATTACATTTGGTCTTCAGAGTAGCTCAAAAAACGTGAGTAGAATTTCATGCAGTGAGTTTCTGTCGCCTCAGTACGGAAAAGGATTAGGGCCACTGAAAAAAAAAAAAGAAAAGTTTACTGATTTTAAAACTTTATTTCAATTTAGTCATTTAGTCTCAGAATTCTGACTTTAATCTCAGAATTTTGGATCTTAATGTAGATGGTCACCATGAAGGAAGAGATGTGGAGCACTCAGCTTCACTGACAAAGATGTGAGTTGTTTGAGGTGGCCAGTGACACATTGGTGGAAAATGACGGAATTAGGCAACTTTTATGTGACTGAGGGGTCCCCTCATTAATAGAGGAGCAGAAGGTCATTAAAACAAGAGATCTAGTCTCTAAAACAGACAAGGCTATGGCTTGATGCTAACATGTTTGTTATCTGTCAGAATTCTGAGAAAAAAGTCAGATTTCTGAGATTAAAGTCAGAATTCTGACTTTTTTCCCATACTAAACTGAAATAAAATTTAAAAATCAGTTAACTTTTTTTTTCAGTGGCCCTAATCCTCTTCCGTACCTCACCTTACCAGGGGCTATGTAAGGAGTTTGATGCAGCAGGGTAAATCAGGGTGTGGCTGGACTCTAGAGCAAGTTCTTTCCAAACATTTCAACCCCAGAATAACAATGCTATAGACTGGTGTTCCCCTAATATACATATAATCACATCACTTTATTTATATGTATGAATTTATTCATACATATAAACAGAAGTAATGTTATTCATTTTAGATCAATGTATTTTTTTATGGCATTTTATTATTAAAGTAATCATTTAGATAGATTTTTGATAATTTAACAGTAAATTTTTATTTTAGTTGGGCATTTTACAATTTAATGGTATTTTAGTATTTGAGTTTTGTATTAGATAAATAACGTCTTTAATGGGACATTTATTTCATGGGCTAATCACAGTTATGTATTTCACAATAAACAACATTAATTATGATTAATTATGAAACCATGTCATGACCCTCCAGCTGGTGTCTCATGCTATCATTTCTGTTTGATTTGTTTTATTCTTTACACAATTATATTTAAAACAATACAATTGTATCATTACAATTTGGCATTAAACAAATGAAAAGGAGCAGGAAGAAGATACATTTGTAACGCCTGCCCCTATCTATGCTAGTATTTCTATAAAAAATACAACAAATCAGTTGAATAGAAGAAAGAAAATAAACATAAAAATATGTAAATCATGAATTCCTTTCATGTTCTAGTACATAAAAACTAATTTTAGCTTTGCAATTTTTTTTCTTTATTTAAATCTACCCTTCAAAGCAGTTTTTTGTTGTTGTTTTTTTTTTTTTTCGGATCAGGATCAGGAAATATAATTTGGCCTGATAAACTTTTACAATCTTTTGGGGATTTTAACATTGCCATCCTGGCTACCAAACTGAATATTCCCTGAAAAGGGAAATTCAGCATTATTTCATGTCTTTTTGTGAACAATAATCTTTATGACCCACTTTTTGGTGATACATTTTGTACTGTCTGGCCTGTCTCACTCTAGACATAATCTAACCTGCATTATTCTGGTTCTTTTCTTGTCATTTTGTCCAATTATAAAGGTTTTCCTTCACAGTGTCTTTCCTCATACTACGGAAACACATTCATTAAAGTTCGGAAATGGAGTTCTGGTCAGAAAACACAGCACCTAAGCTGTGTCATTTCAAATAGGTCTTCCTGTAGCATTGATTAGTGGCGTTTATGTCTCATTCTGGCTCTTAATTGCTGCTGCCTCTGTACTACTTCAGCAGTTAAAGCAGAAAAGGTTCTGCTGCTAAAAAAAAAAAAAAAAAATGAATGTACTTTTAGCCTTCAGGAACCAAAGGTCTGAGGTTGGTAGTTTGTGTCGAGACGGTCATGGCCAACAGGATTAGGAAGAAACCTCAGGATGTTGATTTACTGATTGAGTCAGATTTGGTTGATGAGTACCAGAGAGGTCTGCCCAGAGTTCTGCACGGTGAATAAAGCCAGTCCTTAAGGGAAGGAAGTCCAGGTGACCTTTCCTGATCCTGGAAATGAACTCTGACTTTTAGAAATTCAACACCGTGATACAACTCCAGAATGAGCATGTGCTAACTTATGACTTCTAATTGTAAAGGCGTGTAGGCAAACAGTAAGAGTCGCTTTTGTTCAAGACGACTAAAAACATTTTAAGTCTAAATACGTTTTTATTTCTTTTATTTTCAGTCATCAAACGTATCCAACTCGGAGTGTACGCCACAACTCTTCGTCCTTTCCATTAAGGTGCGTATGAATTTGACTTTCTCTCTTCACAGCAGGTATGCAGTCCTCTTTAACGGTTCACACCCTCACCAATAATGCGTTGCCAGATGTTCATAATGATGGAGAGCAGCTCCCCTCACATTTATATCACATACTGACGTTCATCTCAGCCATAGGTCTTTGCAAATTGATCAGACCCCTTGAACTTTTCCACATTGAAAACTTCAGCTTTTGTTGGAGGGTTTTCTGCGATACATGAAAAAAATAAAAGCATACATGGAATTTAACAAACAAAGCTGTAAGGTGTGCTGAGCGTTAGTTTTCACCCCCCTATGGGCCGAGGCTTTGTGGAACCAGCTTTAACTTTCCCTGCAGGTCCTTTAGGGCTTTGCTCTTCTAGCGTCACACATCTGGAAACGGACATCTGCATCCATTCGTCTCTTCTAACCGCTTCAAGGTTCTTTAGGTTGGATGCCGAGCGTCTGTTGGTAAACCTGTTCAAATGCAACACTTGTGGAACTGCAGTCAGGCTCTGTTTACAAATTAATCATATCTTACATTTTATTTGTTAATTATTTCGACTAATTATTTTTAAATGTGGGCTGCTCAGTGGCACAGTGGGTAGCACTACTGCCTTGCAGCAAGAAGGTTCTGGGTTCAATTCTGCATGGAGTTTGCATGTTCTCCCTGAGCATGCGTAGGTTCTCTCCCGGTACTCCGGCTTCCTTCCACGATCCAAAAACATGAATGTTAGGTTAATTGGCTTCTCTAGATTCTCCTTAGGTGTGAGTGTGTGCGTGAATGGTGGTTTGTCCTGTGTGTCTCTGTGTTGCCCTGCGATGGACTAGCGACCTGCCTCTCGCCCATAGACAGCTGGAGATAGGCACCACCACCGTGTCAGATAATGGATGGATGGATGGATTTTCAAATGTAAGAAGAATAAAAAGGAATTTAATCGTTTTACAGAACAAGATATGGAAACAGTATTTGTATGTCCCTGAGGTAGTGAGAACAGTTCAGACCTGACAGACTTCATTCCTGTCACCTAATGTTGTGTATATATATATATATATATATATATATATATATATATATATA